TTTCTTTCTTCCTTCCTTCCTTTCCTTCTTAATGAGAGTAATTTGTTTGCGGACAGTAGTGCACCACTTATAATTGTAGCCTTAACTCAAACAAAGTAAATAGAAAAGCGAAGGATATATGATAATGGCTAACCAAAATTATAGCGGTTATGCAAACACCAAATATTCGTTTTCCATTCTTTCGATGTATCTTAGTTTCCATAGCATTACACTTCGACAAAGTAACAAATAGAAACTTAAGTTCATTTTGTTGTCTGTAATCTAGTCACAGGGTTAACACTGGGACCTGTTAATCTGTCTTTACTCCTACGCGACTGTTTTCTTTGGCTGAAGTAAACCGAGCCGTCTTAGGTGAGTACTAAAATACTAAGACCACTTGGTATTAACTGATAAGTTTATTGGTTAGATATCTGCTAAATCGGTTGACACACTTATTCAAGGGCTTTGAAAGCACTACAGATTACTGGATGTACAAGGTTTAATAGCGGCAGTGCGGCACCATGTTACCTTTATCACTGCATCTCTCTGTTGTCGGACTTGAAAAAAAGTTTTTCTAGAACTCATAACCAGTATGCGTATATTTGTTGGTTTGTCCTCGTAAGTTTATTCCTTGATTATTAAGGGGCTTTTTTCTAAGTTCTCCAGTTTTTCCCCCTAAATTTTAGTTGGCCATTGTCCACATATTCTTATCTTTGTCCTGACTTAGATCAGCCCAGACGTTGTTTAAGGATTCGATCTGTGGATCAGCCGTGCCCCGACTTGATCATCCCAGATGATGTTTAAGGATTCGATCTGTGGATCAGCCGTGCCCTGACTTAGATCAGCCCAGAGGTTGTTTCAGTATTTGATGTAATAATAGTTTTTTTAGGGGTGAAGTAGTTAGTCCGTTCATTTTCTACTCGGATAACTAGTACTGTTCAAACGCTTTATAAATTTGCAAGTAATTGATGAATGAAGTTTCTGAATGAGAAAAAAAAACTTCGCTTTAAAATAAATAATTTTGTTGTTCTTTTTCCTTTTCTTCCTTTTTCTCTATTCTTTCTTAGTTCTCCTAGGGTTTTTTCTCTATGAAAATATTTATTGTTGTTTGTTAAAAATTATGAACCTTTTACTCTCTATCTCAAAGTCTTACATTCCAAAAAAGCAATTCACAATTATAATCTAAAGTCTTGTATTAAAATACAGTCAATAGTTACAAAGGGTTCTCAGTCAAGAATGTGCAACCTACGTCGCTCTGACTTAACAAACACACGATTATGAGAACATCTTTAGGCGTACGCTGCTTATTGCGCCGCCTCTCGTTACTATGGTCATGGATTCAATGGTGATCCGGACTTGCCATTGGACTTGCTGTCATATATGTGAGTAAAGTTGTTTTTTGGTTCCAACTTTTCTATGCTTTGAGGATCAGGATTTTAGTTTTTCTGCCGCTCGAGTGTCGGTTGCCATCGAAAACAGGACAATATTTAATTATGCTCTTCCAAGTTTTGTTTCGAAATTAATTTTGGTCAGAATTTTTTTTGTTTGTGGTTTGCAGGAGAATACGTGTGTACATTTGAACTAATTAACTGCCAAAACTGACTTTATTGATTTTGTTCAGGAGACGGAGAATAAGGCTGTTCAGATTATCACTGAATTAAACTTACATACTTACTGCACAGAGACATTTATTAGTTAGAAGCACATGGATAGCGGATTTCGATCAGCGGCGGATCAAGAACGGTTTCAGGGAGGAACAAGCCAGTCACATAGCGGCCTTAGTTTGGTCTTTATTCTCATTATTATTCAACTCCACTGAAAGGGAGGTCACTAGTTACCCAAATAGAGCGTTTTCATGTGAAGTCAAATCGGCTTGTTTTCGATGTACCAAAACAACGCATTTTCTATCCTCCGGGAATTGAACTCTATTTTTATGCAAAAGCTGTGCAGAAGTTTCTATTGTTTGGTACAACATGGCTGCCTTGTCACGTGAGTGAAAACGCTGTATAGCAGATATTATGGATGCATACAAACGAGATGCAAATGAGACAAAAAGCGTTGTACCGACCCGATAGCCTCTATATGGTTGTTGTTAAGACATAGAATATCTCATTGCGGGCTCAACTGTAATAACAGCTATTCGCTACCCCGCGGAACCACCGTTGTTCATGTATTGCTTACTATCAATCACGTGACTTTTTGGAGTTGACTGGGGGGCAAACAAGCCGTTGACTGGGGGGCAACTAGCGGATGCTAAGTCAAAACATGTCAAAATAAGTCCTCAAACTATTGTATTTGACTATTTTCACGACATCAAACCAGAAAACAAGAGATTAAAACAACCTCCAGGATTCTACAAGCCATCAAAAAAGAGCTATTACCGGAAGTGACGTCTATTGATAGCAACCTATAGTTCTGAATCAGACAATAGCGAATCAATTACCGTTGTAGCAGTTCTCCTTAGTGAAATTAAAATTCTGTCCCATTATAATACTATATATAGAATCGGTTTTAGTAAAGAGCACTTCAAGGATGATTTTAATTTATATATATTGTTTTTAGGAAATTCTATTTGATTTCATTTTATTTTCACAGTAAACAACTGAAACAATCCATATAATTAGTTTCCGCAATCAAGACAGAGTATTAAATCCTAAAATATTCTAGATAATTTGTTAAGCTTGTGGAACATAGCAACGTGGTAACTAAGAAGGAGTCGTAACATGCTGGCCAACCGAACTCTGCTGGTCGACAGACGCTACGTTAAAAACGAAATATTTCCTACCAACAACGAAAGACGCTATTCTAAAAGCTACGTGGTGTATCTTTGGACGGATAAGTTTTATTTTCTTTAATTTTGAGGGTTTTTTTTCCTTTAATTTTGTTGTTTATTGAGCCGAACACCTGGAACTAGAAAATTTTAAGCTCAAACAAAAGTGTTCGCTGATTGGCTAATTCGATCGGGTTGAGAGCAGCGAAATTACCTGGACGGGAGGAGTTAGAGTAAAAATGGTCATCTTGAGTTTTAGAGACGGAATGGTCGAATCTGTAAGGACAATTACTTTTCGCATCTTAGGCCTTTTTAAAAACCAATCAACGAAAATTGTAAAACAGATTGGTTAACATGTATATTTCATTCACCATCCATCATATCAACGCTTCTATCCGCCTTTGTGTGCACATAACAAAACCTCCGCTGTTTTTTCAGCAGTTCAGTTTTCAATGACAGTATCGAAACAAAATCTTGCGTGAGTTTAAACAATATTTGATTAGCTGTCAAGGTGTCATTTCCAGCGCTATTGATGTTTTTGGTCGTTATTTTTTTGCTCAGGAAGAAGATCCAATTACCGCCACGTGAGTTTATGAGAATGAATTGCATAATTGTCCATACTTAATTTTGTTTATCATTAATAATCTATAAATAATAATTTGTAATAAAATAAACATGAGTCGGTTTTCAAGTTTGGTGGTGACCGATCGAGGATCTCCTCTTTCAAACGGCTCTTGCTCAAATAAGTAAGCCAATTTCTAATTTATTTTCGTAACACACTAAAAAACAGAGAAAAATATTTCAATGCAAACACTCTTTTCTGAATACCTTATAAGATTAGTTATATGTGTGTGAAAGGTTGACTGAACTAAAGGAAGCGCGCAAAAAGGCCATAGTGAGTCAAAGATTTAAATGCGTTTCTGTTATTATATACACTTATTTCAATAAAGTGAGTCACCAAAAAACCTAGAAAGCTGAGATCACTGAGGATCATGGGAAACTTTTAATATCAAACAAGTAAAGCTTTTGATACAATTTGCAGCTTGAGGATGCTCAGAAGTGGTGAGGTGTAACTGGTAAAAGTTCTAAAATCCATCAACAGTTATTAAAGCGGTTGAAACATGTAAAATGCAACTACCCATAATCCTTGTTGGTCTCAGCTTTGTAGCTTTTCAGGCGACTAACTTTATTGAAATAAGTGTATATATCCACTCTAAGGATTTCACATGATTTCTTTTACCGCGTGTCATTGTGAAAGAGCTCAGTATGTCGAGACGAAGAAACGTTATATAACACTCAGCCAGTTGATGAAATAATGATACTGATGTTCATATCTTGATTACTAGAGGCAAATGTCGAGATCTATGAAAATATGTCGTGCTGTGTCCAAGATGATGCTTTGTCCGAGTGTATTTTGATTGGCTAAGCAAAGATCTCGTGCGTTGTTATTCGTAAAGAATTTCGCCGATTCTGATAACGTGATATTGCAGTGTGCCGCGCTATCCCAATTCAATCTGTGAATTAGCCATGTCCTGACTTAGATCAACCTAGAGGTTGTTTGAGGGTTCGATTTGTGAGTTAGCTGTGCACTGACTTAGATCAGCCCAGAGGTTGTTTCAGGGTTTGATTTGTGAGTTAGCCATGCCCTGATTGAGATCAGCCCAGATAGTTGTTTCAGGGTTTGATTTGTGAGTTAGTCGTATCCCGATTTATAGATCAGCCCAGATTTTGTTTCAGGGTTCGATATGTGAGTTAGCCGTACCCTGACTTTGGCCAGCCCAGAGGTTGTTTAGGGTTCAATCTGTGAGTTAGCCGTGCCCTTTTAGATCAGCCAAGTCGTTTCAGGATATATATCTGTGACTTACCTGTGCCCTGACTTTGATCGACCCAGAGGTCGATATTAGAGGGTTCCATCTGTGAATTACCCGTCCCCTGACTTTGATTAGTCTAGAGGTTGTTTTGTGGTTCGATAACATTTGATGTTCTTCACGTCTCTGACTTCTAGGTTAACAAAGGTTCAACTATTACCTCCAAGATGCCTTCGTCCATTATCACCGGAGCAGCTCTTTTCTTGCTGGCGCACGCCTTCCTGGCAGATGCTGGTTACAACGCCTGTGAGTACAGCGAACTAACAAAGTGCAACAATGTATTTATGTCCAGCTTCAAGCTTCCTGTTCTACAGCAAACCGTTGGAGGCGTTTACTGTCATGGATTCCAGGTAGAAATTAAGGAATGTGCCCGTTTTGTAGTTTTTCATGTACACATTCTTCTTTGAATGGAGTGATGGGTTGTTGGACGGATAAAATGCAAAAAAATGGATGGATAGATAGATCGATAAACTGGTGATTTCTCTTTTTTTAATGTTATCACTACCACCAGCACCACAATCATCATCATCATCATCATTATCATAGTCATTAACATCGCCATCGCCATCGCCATCGCCATCGTTATCGCCATCAACATCATCATCATAATCAACATCATTATTATCATTATCATGATTACTATTAGCATCATTAACCCGGTATTTCATACAGGTTTACGCCAACTGTTTGAGTGCTTCACTTTGTTTTGGCAAATTCCTGGACCTCAGTCGCTTCATGATCCTGCAGCACATGATCATGGATAAGACCTTAAACGTCTGTCCTCTTCACAACCTTTGGTCTTTAAAGAACACCGTTCAAGGTACGTACATGCGGACAAATGGTGCGATATTGCATGCAAGACTTAATTATTATTATTTTAATGTATTTATCCTTGCACACGAACTAACAAGTTTACATTATGATTTACGGAAAATCACTCTTAAAAATTACAGGAGAAAAAACAACAAATATGATGATTAAAAACGTGAAGTAATTGATGGCCAAGGTAGTACAAAATTTCGATTTAACCAACGTCGCAGAGACGTTGCAAAAGTGGAATTAATTTCCATTTTGATGTTACGACGTCGCATGCAACATCGCACCGTGTGTTTTAATGGATAATGGAGCACGGTGCATGATTTTCGATCGAGTTTACTCTCCTACCCTTCTCCTTCTCCTTCTTCTTCTCCTTCTCCTTCTCCTTCTCCTTCTCCTTCTCCTTCTCCTTCTACTTCTCTTCCTCTCCTAAATTTTCCTTCTCCTACTTCGTCTTGGTTTATCAACTCCTTGACATTTTCTTCAGTTTGTGACATTTTATTTCTTCATCATTTATCAGCCAACAAGAAATACCGCAAGAAGATTGACCAAATCATAGCTGTTGGTAGGTATATACTTCATGTATTACTCTTTTAGCTGAATTGAAATTCTGGAATTTGACTTTCACTTGTTTTCAAAATCGGCTTCCTATGGTCCACTCCCTTTGACCTATCAGGTTACATGAACTTACACCCTTAAATCGAGCCGTTGGGTCAAAATAAAGAAATTAAACAAAGTAAAGAACGCGAAGTTTCAGTTCATTATATTCACGCCCGCGTATCAAATATGAGGGTGAGCCATATAAGCAATAGACCCCTTGCAGCACGTCGGAATGCAGCTTAATTTTGGAGGACATAACAATAGGTTTCCAATTCTCGGGAGATTGAAATTCTTTTGTTTTGTCCTCCAAATTGAGTAGCTTTGACGTCACATGCAAGGGGTCTATAAAGCAAGTCGCCATTTGTGAATCTTTTAGACGCGGATGACTATGCAGACTGCGCAGCTAAGATACACCGCGATTGTACCTCACAAATGGCTAAAGATTTGGCCTCAAACGACAAAATGTGCTTTGGAGTCGAGAACTTTCTTCAGTGTTACGAAAACCACAAGAATTCCTGCAAAGCCAAAATATACAAGCACTTCCTCAACACTGTCAAAAAGGTGGCAAAGACATTGGTAAAGATGTTCAAGGAAAGGAAAGGAGTAATGCCAAATTGCTAGACCTGCAACCGGTGCATCTCATGTATTTTTAGATAGATGAAGGAAAAAACGAAAGTGTCTCTGTGTGGGCTAGGTCAGTCCTTACAATTAAACATATTTAAATGACATAAAAATCGTGATAAATCATTTACCATTTGTCAATAATTTTAAAAGAGAAAGATTAAAACTATCACTAACTATCAACGTAATTGGTAAGACTGTGCTTTTGTATTCATTCTCTATTACAGTTTCTATTACTTGGTAAAAGTTTTGTTGAATTTTGCATTTGCACAAGCTCGAAATGCGCTATTGACGATTTGAATCCAACCGGCGGAAAAAAAAAAAAAAAATTCCGACCAGGAAAGAATATATCTATATGATTTTTTTAAATGTACAAAATTGCTCTAAAACCGATATCGATTTTTGTCGTATAAGTACTTTAATGAAACAACCAGCATCAAGAGCTATTTTAAAACACGCTCCTTTGTCTACAAACCGTATGGCTTACACCATGTACTATTGTAATAAACGTACATTGATGATTAGTTTTAGATCAACCCCTTTACAACCAACTTAACTACTACTTGATGTAAATGACTGTGTAACATGACTACTGATTTAGTAATATTTATCTCGTAGCAAACCAGCTGAGCGGTGAACGCGGCGCGCAAAGCATGAGTGAACAAAATGTAAAAAGAAAGCAGAAAAATACGCAAAAGTTGGGTTACAGTAGCCTGGGAATGAGGGCATGCGCTAAAACAGATAATGGGTGGCATGGGTGACGTAGTGGTTTTCCAATCGCCTCTAACCACTGTGGTCCGAGTTCGAGCCCTGGCTCAGACTGGATCATATGTGAGTTTAGTTTGTTTGTTGTGTTGTTCTCTCCCTTGCCACGAGGGTTTTTTTCCGGGATCTCCGGTTTCCTCCCTCCGTAACTGAAAAGCAACTTGTGAGTTGAGTGTTGTATGTTGTAAATATAGAATGTAGTGGTAGTGCGTGTGAAGGGAACCTCACACGGAAGAACATCGCATGGGGAGTGGTGGTTGTAAAATAAAAGTTTATATATATATATATAAACCCGCTGTGATTGGCTGAAACAAAATTCATCGCTCAGCTGGAAAGGAATACGTGAATGTTTAACACAAAATGGRGKTTTTCCCTGARWGAAACATAACTCGAAACTGGCGTGGTATTAAAGACGTTTTCGTAAGACCAAATAGGCGTTAACAWAATCAAYCCCATRATCCTCAGGGCACTTGGCCACCTCAKCTTCGTAACGGTGGTACAATTCATCGACGATYYTAGATTTYTCTTCGRCAGAACRAGAATCCGAAAGTCCTGGAAAACATACAGTAGTAAAAAGAATATTTAAATACAAAGTATAGAGGTTGTTAAATTCACATTGACTATATATTTGAATACCAGAATGGCCGGACTGGTCGACTAATTGTCATCATTCACCTGAAAGAAATGTGCTGTTGCTCCACGCTCGAATACTTCCTACATATTTCTTCGCATGTTCTTTTGCATCCCCCTTCTCTTTAATCCATTTTCCCTTATATGGACAAGGTGTGATTTTCGTGTCTATGGAAACCAACTCGAGCCCTGCTTTGATAACAGGCGAGTTAGGACACTTGAATGGTTTCTTGAAGTCATCTACCGTTTTGACGTAGGCGCTTAGATTTGTTTTTGTAAACACATCCTATGAGAGAAGAAAATAAATTCTTTAATTTGTGTTTATTTACACAAAATGCAAGCAAGCAAGCAAGCAAGCAAGCAAGCAAGCAAGCAAGCAAGCAAGCAAGCAAGCAAGCAAGCAAGCGAGCAAACCGTTTTAAAAATACATTTTACTCTTCATAACTTTATTGTACGTGCCTTGCCGTGACCGTGACTGTGCTTTTGCTTTGTTTCGTGACGCAGGTATGTAAATGTTCAACCTTATATGTTTAATATTGTTAATGTTAAGCATCGTAGTTTAAATTTTTTCCAACATACATACTTACATCGGTGATTACTCCATCATCTGCAAGTGATTTCCAAAGTGTCGATAACAATGTTATACAACTATATTTGGAGTCATTCGTGTGTCCTGTAAACTGGCCATCTTCGGTCAAAACAACCTCCGCCAAGATCATACTTCCTCCTTACGAGAAAACATGTATATTTTAGAAAGTCATATGTATTTCTAGTCTATTAGGCACTATAGACACCGAGGATAGCAAGCAGGTCACGAGAGAGGAAAATAGGCGTACATATCGGCTCCCCACTTATTTTTTTAGACAATTCGTTTAGTACGTACAACAGAGAAGACGTCTTACCTGGCCTAAGCTCGGCCGCTCTTTTCGTTAGATATAATTCCCAGTCTCTTTCGGCCTGTACCCTAAACTTTTCTTTTTCCTCTGGTACAGTAGTGAACAAAGGAAATATCGTTCCAGTGATGTCACAAGGCTTGTCACGCAACCAATGTGTGCAATTAGAAGAGAACCCCAATGTCACGCTGTCATTGGGGAAACACTGATCGTAGAAATTTGTACCGCTGGCCATGACGAACACGTTGGGGAAGTCCAGGAGATAACTGCGAGGACCAGGAACTAAACCTTGAATGGATTCAAGATATATAATTTGATATGATTAGATAAGATAACTAGCTAAAAACTAGTGTGAGCAGCGTCGGTGTTTCTAATGAAACAGTAATGATAAAAAGGTAAATTATACACCGTGAAAAGATATAAAAACTTACTGACGTTTCGGACGCTAGTCCTTCGTCAGAATAAAAGAGTAAAAGGACGAGGGACTAGCCATCCGAAACGTCGGTAAGTTTTTTCACAGTTTTCACGGTGTATAATTTACCTTTTTATCATTACTGATAAAATATAATTAGAAATAATTAAAATATACACTGAATCGCATTAATAGAGCCTTCAAGCTTGGGAGTAAATATTTTGCACCTGTTGTTATCTTTAGCATAATCTTCTTTGTTTGAGTTGTATATGCATATTCATGGGTCTTCTTCTTATGGCAACCGTTAAACAAAAAAATGTAATGCCTTAGGGGATCGTGACACGTGGTCTGAGCTGGGAAAACATTACTGGGTCCAACGCTAAAGGGGTCTATTGCAGTTTTGTCCAATCTTCAGTCTAGTCCCATTGTATAGAACTAGTTGATCTTTTAAGCATAACATTTCTTCAAATCATGAATAAATGTATGGCAAACTCACAGATCGAATTATAATTGGGTGTAAATGAGGAGGAGGACTGCCCACAAAGAACCCGGAAAACAACCATCACATCTAATCAAGGGAGAGACCTTACAAACTCTACTCACATGAGGTGTTGTGTCTAATCCAACTCCAGGCCCCAGGGGTGACGTGAATCGCTACACCACCCATAATGTCCGAGAGCAAACAAAAATCGAGAGGAGACTGGTGCCCGTGGTTTACTCTTACCTTGTGTTCTCAAGAACACAGACGTGAAATCATTAACCGGTTGATCCTCATAGATCACATTGATCGGCAGTTCAGCTCCATATTTTTCTCGTATTGCTTTGACGCATGCGTAGATAAGATCCATCGAAATTCCACCATCAGCCGTCCCATAATCCACTAGGGTCACCACAGACTGTTTTTCTAGGGCCATAGCATCAAGTTCTCTCAGAACCAAGGGGTTGCTGTCTTAACCACTTGACGATTTGCAATGCTACGAGATGAAAAATACCCAGAACCAACCTCGCCGTACGGGAGATGACTATGAGGGACCTGGCAAAAATATGCAATAATCCCCAGGGGGTGGGGGAGAGGTTAACGTTGATATCCACATTTTCTAGCTTTACACACATGCATATTAAATGAAGGGGGGGGGGGGGGGGATTTCACTTTGTTTTATATGTGCGACTCATGACCGACTTTCGATATTTTCAGGCGAATAATGAGTGGTGTGTGTGTGAAATACATCTGCTTCGCTGGCTCGTAAGTAACATCTAGTTTATAGGTAATCCATACAAGAGAGCATTGCAATAGTCATATTCAACGGTTAAATATTTACAAATAGTAGACAGAGTCCTTAGGTAGAAGTAGGAAGACTTTACAAATATTGCTTGGAGTTCACCAGTCATACGGTCATCAAAAACCACTCCAAGATTAACAGCTGATAAACAAGGGACAATTATGTTCCCACAGTCTTGAATCTCAGTCATCAAAGGATAGTCTTGAAACCTAGAGTGGATACACATGAGCTCCGTTTTATCGTGGTTTAACTTCAGTCCATTTACAAGCATCCACTCAGAAATATCAGAGACACTCTTCTAAAGATTGCCTAGATTGAGCAAACTGACGATTGCCTTTAAAAGATAAATAAAGCTGAGAATCATCAGCGTAAAAATGATAACTGAGATTATGTCGTTTAAATATATCTGCCAGTGGAGATATGTAAAGCAAGTAAAGAATCGGGACTAGTACAGAGCCCTGCGGTACCCCAACATCAAGATTGCAAAGGGAAGATGAACATTCATTAATACCAACAAATTGCTTCCTATTAGACAGGTAAGATCTAAACCATGCTTAAAACATCATGCACCAATACCAAACCGATTAGCAAGTCTATTCAGTAAAGTATCACGAACGACAGTATCAATAGCAGCTGACATATCAAGAAAAATAAGGATAACACAGTTACCAGCATCAATAGATTGAAGGATGTCGTTATGAATTAGAACCAAGCTGTCTCAGTACTATGCATGGCTTTGTAAGCCGACTGAAGTGGATCGTGCAGATTATATTTAGTTAAATAATCATTCAACTGATAAGCAACAGCCTTTTCAATTAGTTTAGGGATAAATAGTAGATTAAAAACAGGTCAAAAATTAGAAAAACTTCAAAGTCAACATTCGGTTTTTTAAGAATAGGTGTCAGTTTAGCAATTAGTCTTGAGAGAATCAGGAAATACACCCTGGGAGAGAGATAGATTAATAATATTTATAAACACTGGAATTAAAAGATCAAGACATTCCATAAGAAGAGAAGCAGGAATAGGGTCTAGGCTACATGACTTAGCTGTGGACCCAACTAAATGTGAAATCTCGTCATAGCCTAGARCGTCGAAATTTCGAAAGACAGAAGAACAATTAACAGGATCTGGTGGGAGCCGATCGAGGCTGAACAGGAAGAAGAATGTCAAAAATGTCCTGTCTGATACGCTCAATCTTATTAGAAAAGAACTGGATGAAAGAATTTGCCAGACAGGTGTCATCAGAACTAGGAGGATACTGTAAGCTTTGTTTAGGCTGAAGTAGCCCGGACACAATCTTAAAAAGAGCGCGTTGGTCATTTCCATTATCGGCGATAACGCTACTGAAAAACTGTTGTTTAGAAGAAAACAGCATCTTGTTAACAACAGCGCATTGCCTAGAAAATAGTGCTTTGTCTGAAGTAAGCCCAGTCGCTCATTGTTTTTGAGTAGAAATTATTTTATTCAAGCAAAGTTGAAATCAAATTCGTTTTCTTGGCGTCCTCTCATTTCCAGCATGCGGGTGTTATTCCACCAAACTAAATGCAAAAGCTGTCTTGGGGTTTTTATGCCAACCACTCCAAGTAGTATAGGGAATGGGGGTTCCAGCGCAATCTCAACACGGGGTAAGACCCGCGTCAAAAATCCATTTACGGACGACCCCCACTCCAAGTGTGGTTGAGGGCAACAGCGCACTTAAATATGTTAGTCTATATATGGAGTGCGAAGAATGTAAAGA